TGATCTTAGCCCAAAGGCCGAGAAAGGTATGAGAGATGAAGGATGAGACTTTTTCCACCCTCCGTCTTTTTTATATATACACACACGTCCTGCCAGTGATCTGGAGGTCAAGGTACCTGTCTTTCTTGGGAGAAAGAAAAAACAAGTAGAAAAGAAATGGGAAAGGGAAAAAAAAGTGAAAAAGGAGACTTAGCCCCGTTGACTGGAACTGCACACGTCTGACCGTCCCACTCTTCAGGGGCCTTGTCCCAATAGCGAAGAGGATTGGATTTAATTCCGGAATCTGGATGTGTTTTTGTACGCAGAAGGCACGGAAACAGACCAAACGCAATTTTATGCATCTTTCCACAAACAAGTCCAGATTCAGGAATTCAATCCAATCCACAATGCAGGGAAACAGATCAAACGCAATTCTCTGCATCTTTTCCACAAACAAGTCCAGATTCAGGAATTCAATCCAATCCTCTGTGTTTTTTCATGCCGAATGCAGGAAAACAGATCAAATGCAATTTTCTGCATCTTTCCACAAACAAGTCCAGATTCAGGCATTCAATCCAATCCTCTGTGTTTTTTTTATGCAGAATGCAGGAAAACAGATCAAACGCAATTTTCTGCATCTTTCCAGCAACAAGTGCAAATTCAGGAATTCAATCCAATCCTCTGTGTTTCTTAATGCAGAATGCAGGAAAACAGATCAAACGCAATTCCCTGCATCTTTCCACAAACAAGTCCAGATTCGTGAATTCAATCCAATCCTCTGTGCTAATGAGACCGGGCCCCAGGGTGTATTTGGCCGGTGCTTTCGCCAGACGGGTGGAGTCCGAGTACGCCCGAAGAAACTCCCTCACCGTCACTCACGCGGAGAAGTCCCAAGGTCCCACTTCCACGGGTGCAGAGATAATTATATTGTCTGTAGATTCTGAGGATCCCTAACCCCCATCTTTTCCATCTTTATTTTTTTTTTATCTTTTTTTTTGTTTTAAATTAAATCCGGGAAGCAGGCCCGGCGTCCCTCACATGAATACTGCAGTCAAATGGGGCTGAGAGAGGTACTCCCCACCAGTCCCATCCCCAACCACAGCCGTCCAACAGCATAGACCCTGGCACCCCCCGAACAACAAGGCCCAAGTTATAAAAATAAAAGAAATAGCAAATAAAAACCGAAAAGGCAGCCTTCCTAAAATAGCAACCCTTTCCTTTTTAAATGTCCAAAGGGTCAACTAATCAACTTGCTAATCTTCTTCGTCTTTTTTTTTTTTTTTTTTTTTTTTTTTAATTTATAATCAATTTGTAATCAACTACTCAAACAATTCAGACCCCATTTCAATGTGCTTTGGTAATATACAACCCTCTCCTATGTAATTGTCTGAACTCCCATCACCCAACCATCCACTGTAGTGACAGACCATTATACATAGGGCCTCGTTAGACCCTCCTTGAAAAATCCTCAGGAATTAGGACGAAGTCCTTGGAAAATTTCAAGGAACTTGGCGGCGTCGTTACACCGCGTCCTAAACGAAAGGGTCCCAAGGAAAAACCTTGGAGGTTTCCCGCGGCCAATTTCATACGCATATACGAGGCCGCGGGGTAGGATGTCCGTCTTCGCGGTGGGATGTCCGTCCGTCCTCAGGCCGTTGGTGACCTCCCGCCGGTTGGAAGCCGATATTGTCCGCCCGATGGACCACGGACGTCATGTGCACCAGCAAAAACAGAAACTTTCCGTGTCGACGCACGCTCAACGATGGCCCGTCTATCGCGGATCCTTGAGCCCAAGGGACCTCTCGAGGACCCCTTGAATCCAAGGACGCAATGGCTGGGGATTCCGAGGGACCCAATGAAATCTCTTGGGAGCGTTTTCACATTTTTTCAAGGACTTTTGTTTTTTAGGATGCAGTGTAACCATAACTTTCGACATTCCTGAGGATTTTCAAGGAGGGTCTAACGAGGCCCATAGTCATATACTTCTCCGTACCTAAGTGAATATCACATATGTGCACAAAATTTGAAGTTCAAATTTACTGTACATAACAGGTTCAAAATGTCACACAAAGAAGATAGAAAAAAACAAGATTGGGAAGGCTCCCTCCTGCAAGGTAACTGCACACAGGCCATCCAAGGCTCCCCATCTAGTACGGAACCATTTCACTGATTTGGCCGTACAACCTTTCTTCTGCACCCGGAGTTCCCAACCTGCCGATATTGCCAATTTGATATTGTATTTGACCGCCGCCCGGATCATAGGTGGGGTGAGCCGTTCGGGCGTTCCCCCCTGCGAACTGCTGAGCTTTGAAAGTTCCAAAGAGTCGTAAGGATAGCAGCACGAATCTTTTCCTTGAAAGAAACGGATGCGGGTCTTTGAATGAAGGTGTCTTTTTTTTTTTTTTTTTTTTAACCAAACCAAACACATTCCATTTCAATATCAAAATGAATTGAGACCGGGGACCTCACATTTCCACTCGGAGTTATCCCGGC